TCTCCTGGGATTACTCGAGATGTCCGTCTCGATTCCACATAAATAATTTCGATGAGCCGTCGAAGGCACGACTCTACTCCATGAATCCACTCTCGCCAAGTAATGCATTAAAGTTGGCATGTGATTGGACCACAACGAATACAGTAGGCCTCGAATAAGTGCCTACTTTTACATCCAGGGCGATCATGCCTTCTGAACTTGATGTTTTTCCACTGAAATCGGAAATCATAATGTTATGCTTGACTAAGTCTTTCAGTTCAATGCCAAATTTCTTTAGCATATTAATTGGCAGTATGTTTACCGCTGCTCCACCATCGACAAGGACTCTGTTCACCATCTATCCTTGAATCTCGATATTCAATAGTAAGGGTTTCAGATGGAACCTCATTTCTTCAGATGGAGGATCAATGAAGGCAGCATCTCTATGAGGTACTTCACACGATGTTTGTGTAACCCATGTTACTTTTGGCTTTACGTTTTCTGAGTAGAAGTCATCTTCTCGATTGACATCACTCTGTTCTTGGTACTCTTGATATTCACTAACATATTCTCACTGGTAGTATCGATATCACTCCGATTTGATGCTCATCCCAAGTACCCTCATTCTTATCATCGAAGAATTCTCTTGCATATTGACTCTCCATCGGTACAATATTCTCTTCAAAGTTTCTGTAGTTATTCCAATAAGGGATCCTTCCTCCTCTTCTCCAGGACCTTCCTCGGAATCTCCTTGGGAATGTTGAGAATCCAGTGTTCGATCCTTCATCGTATGACAGCCTCTTGAAGACACCATTATTTCCTCCTCGAGAAGGATACATCTCTCTTCTAACCCATTGCTTTTGATTTCCGCTAACACCGTAACCAATCGGATTTCGCCGACTTTCTTCGATCGTTGGTCGGACCGTTTGATCTACTTTGTCATTTTTTCTTTTATTCTGGTTCTCGATCTTCTTTATCTGTTCTACTCTAAAAGCTTTGGTAGCCGATTTATCGAATACCGCACTGCATCGTGGGCATAACGACACATCTTCGTCTTTTTCTCTCTTTCTATTCAAGAACTCAATTAGGGAATCCCCTGATCGAGGGTAGATCTCCTTTTCGAACTCTTTCTCGAATTCACTCAGATCGAATTCCATATCTTCTTCAGACACGTCCATTCTAACATGTTTAGGATCAATGTCTTCGTTAACATCGACCATGCCTACAAAGGCAGAATTCATCACTCGGACATCCTCAAATATGCCCATTTGGGATTCAATGTATCCCACTTGCACTTCGAATGGACTCGTATCCACTTTCATTGACATTTCTTCAAACTTCAATCTTCCTTGGTCAATCGCATCTTGGATCGTATTCCTGAAATGTATGCAATTGTTAGTCCAATGTCCAAAAACATTATGAAATTTACAATATTTTCGACCATTCCTTTGTTCTCGCCGTAGGCAGCTTTATGATCTTCGCTCAACTTAATTTGTTTGTCTTTTAATAAAATATCGAAGATTTTATCAGCCTTTGTCACATCAAAAGTATATGTTCGATTTGTCATTTTGTCTTTCACTTCATTTTTCCGTAGTAGTTTACGCATATATGGAGCTCCTACTTGAGCTCGCCTATATTCACTTTCTCATCGACTGCCTTCTTCAATATCGATTTCTGTCGTGGGATCTATTTCATACACATCATTTATGTATGCTACCTTATCTTTTCTCATGGGTTTTTCAAATTTCTTATGCCTTTGTTTTTCATACTCAATTTGTTCCACTCTTCTTACTTTATCGGCTAATTGAGCCATGTCATTCAGTGGTAAATTGACTAATTTTTTCCTGATCGAAAATTCTAAGCCTGCAGAGGCCATTCTGACTAATTCATATTCAGGAATTTGAGTAAAGCATCTCGATTTCATTTGTCTAAATCGATTTAGATAATCATCTATAATTTCATGGTTGTATCGTTTTATGTTCATCAAATCGATGAGACTTACTTGAGTCTCTCCTCTAAAAAATTGTTCATGAAAATTTCTCTCTAACTGCAACCAATTATATATCGAATTGGGTGGCAACGAAGTGAACCAAGTAAAAGCATTCTTAGTTAAAGAACTAGGAAAATATTTCATCTTTAATTCTTCACTCATCGCTAAATCCCCACATTCGATCTGATATCGAGCTACATGCTCGATAGTCGATTCACCAACTTCTCCAGCAAATTTAGTGAATTTGGGTACTTTGTATCCTCGAGGTAATTCCGTCTCGAGAATCGCATTTGGGAAATGTGACACAAAATACGTTGGAATGGGTGGTCTAAATTCCATCCCTTGTAAATTCATCCTCTCGTCCTATCATGTTATTCGATTGCATATATTTTGAAATCCTTCGTTCAAATTCCCATAAATGTCATTCCTCACGTACAATGTACTCAATGAGCAAGGAAATCCGGATCGCTGTAAGCTTTCATGGTGTTCGTCGTTCCTCCGTAGACTTCGTTCACTACTAATTCCGTTCTCTCGCCAATTTTCGCTCCCTATTTCTTTCTTCTTTGTTCTATTTATAAGTGCCTCGTTCAAATCTTTCAAGAAGCAGTGCACGATCAGCTACCACGTTCTACGTGCATATGACGCTTTATCTCTACGGCTTTCCACGTTCACACGATCTTTGATTTCCTCTATAGTTTCGAACTCGCTTCTATCCGTCGTTGACTTACTCTTCTCTTTATGGTTTGACCAAAGTTTTCGATGTCCGTGTAGGTTAGCTTTTTCATTTTCGATTTTACACTTTCAGAACTTCGAATCGCTTTACGATTCATTTTCAACCTTAACGTCTCATCCTTCTAGTTTCTTAGGTTTCGACACTAGGCATTTGACTCTCATTCCTTCGATTCTCGATTATACTTCTCGATGTTATGTGTTACGTGCTTGTAGACATCGAATGATTTTTTATCGATCACGTGTTCTCTCTTCCTTTCCTTCATTTTTCGATTGCTTTTCTCGATTTCCTACTAACACCAAGATAAGTCTATTTCCTCTTGTATGGGGTATTAAGATTCAGGAGTTAAAATCATGGTTCTCAAACTTGAATTAGAGTGATCACTTTGACAGGGAAACCAGTCCCTATCCAATTAGGTTGCACTGCAAAACCAACGATGCACAACGCACATATCAAACTGATAAAAAAACAGTGGAGATAAAAAAATATTAATTTTTTGAATAAAATAATCTAAAATATTAGTAATTTTCTTTCTTCTTATACACATAAACTTATTATTATTAAAAAATATAATATATTATTTAAGTTTGAGATTAAGTATAATAAATATATTATATGTAAATTTGTATATGTAATTTAAATGCTGAAAACCTATAAATTTATAATAACATATGTTTTTAAATATAAATTTATATATTTAAAATTCTAAATAAGTTTATGAATACTGTTTGAAGTACTCATCCATCAAAACAAGTCCGATTTGAATTAAAAACATTTAAAACACAACAGGCCCTGCCATTTGCATGAGCCACGCCAACATAAGAACAACATCGTCCACGACCACATGTGACTGGATCATATGCAACTCGACGTTGGTCTCACTTCATTATCAGGCTTTTCAGCAATTGGGCATTCGGGTTAAGGCGAGACATACAATATTACACCTAACAGAGAATGAAACAAGAAGCAAGCAAATAATTCAATAGTATCTCCCAATCCTGACTTGAAACAAGAATTAACAAACAAACAAACAAACAAGCTAACACAACGAAACGGAACGACAATTGAATGTCTCTAAACGACAAGACGCAGCAGTGGAAGTGTTGGTTCAAGCAGGCGTCCGATTTTCAGGAGGGGAAGTCCTCCACACGATGTCTTTAAGCGCGGGACGAAGTTCGTTGCTGCAGAATTGGTTGTACTCCAAGGTGTCACCGTTGTCCTTCTTAACCTCCACAACCAAAAACGACGGCGTTACGGCGTATAAATCCGCAGCAATTGCTAGCTTCCCTTTCCGTCCCCGCTCTTGACCCTGCAACCTCACTTTCGTCTCACTCTTCTTCACGTCAAACTTCACCGCCTTCGCCACCTCCTCCAGCCGCGAAATCACGCTACTCGCGGGGCGCGTGGTTGCGAATCGGATCTCCTTCTCCTCCTTCTTCTTCTCCTCGAACAACGGCGACAGATTGAACCCCTCCGAAAGCGAAATTATATGAAAAGCATTCATCGTTGTGGACTTACACTCTTCCTGCTGCTTAATCTTCTCCTCCAAATCCATCTCCTCTCTCTTCACTCCCATCATGTTCTTCGGAACCGGTTTCTTAAACCAGGACGTGTCCATGATCTTGGAAATCGTTATTCTGGTATTCGGGTTCGGGTCGAGGAGCTTCGTTATGAGTCGGCGCGCCTCGGATGAAAACCACGGCGGACACTTGAAGTCACCGCGGTAGATTTTCTTATACAAGGCGACCAAGTTGTCATCCTGGAAAGGTAAAAACCCTGCGAGGAGTACATACAGGATTACACCGCAAGACCAGATGTCAGCCTTGGCGCCGTCGTAGCCTTTTTCCCGATGACTTCCGGCGCCACGTAGGCCGGCGTGCCGCACGTGGTGTGAAGCAGGCCGTCCTGGCGGAGGTGCTCGGAGAAGGTGCTGAGGCCGAAGTCGGTGACCTTGAGGCTGCCGTCCTCGTCTAGGAGGAGGTTCTCCGGCTTGAGGTCGCGGTGGTAGACGCCGCGGCTGTGGCAGAAGTCAATCGCGGAGACAAGCTGCTGAAAGTAAAGGCGCGCCGTCTCCTCCCTGAGACGGCCGCGGGCGATCTTGTTGAAGAGCTCGCCGCCGCGCACGAGCTCCATGGCGATGTAGATCTTGGACTTGCTGGCCATGACCTCGTGGAGTTGCACGATGTTGGGGTGCTTCACCATGTTCATGGCCGAGATCTCCCTCTTGGTCTGCTCCATCATCCCCACCTTCATCACTTTCTCCTTCCCCACCACCTTCATCGCCACGCTCTTCCCGCTCTTCAGGTTCCGCGCATGGTAGACCTTGGCGAACGTCCCGTGCCCCAGTAGCCGCCCCAGCTCGTACTTCCCGTGGAGCAGAGTGGAGTTAATCGCGTCGCCGCTGTTGCTTTTCTCACCCATCATCAAAATATACGAAATCACTATTCTTTACTCTTTTTACTTCTACTACTACTAGTACTGCTGCGAATTACAATATAAAAGTGGTATTTTGCAGATTTGGGTTGGGGAGGGAAAGTGAAGAGAAATGGTGGGTTAGGTTAGGTTCACCCGTCTTCGACGTGCTTCCGGTGGCAATTTCTGCCGCCAATTCTGCGTTTGGATTGGCCACTTAGTTCAGTTCTTTTCATCCGAAAACCTCTCATCTCTATTCATTCCCTGGTCCTTCCGGGACCAAAAGAACCACTCTCCGACTGATTTTGCGCAATTATTGAATCACTCACTCCCTCGCTGCTTCTCTCTTATTTCTCTCTGCCTCGCTGCGCTAGTACCTCTTTTTTATTTATAAACGACGGATTTGGCCCAGGTGAAACCAAGGTTGACACGTGGCGCACGCACTGTGGAAATGGTAAGAAGGGTTGTTGTTGGTGTTTGCGGGTTAGTTCTTGAAGGAGTGACACATGATGGTTGGGAGGAACAGCGAATAAGGGTAAGAAATTAAGAATCTTATGGTTCCTGGCAACAAAAACAAGGATGTGACATTGGTCCCCCCGCGACAGCGATAACACCTCAATCAACCTACTAATGATAATCATTGACCTAGCTTAGCTAATCTACTACTTCTTACTCATGGTTCTTGGAATCAATTGCCAACTCCTTTCCCCTATTTATTACCAACATTTCATTCAAATTGAGTTTAGACTCTCTAACAAATGTTTCTTCACAAAAAACAACTACTTTAATTTCAATGTTACTTCACTTCAAAGAGAATGGCGTCAGTATAAACTCATACCAGTTTAATTTCCTATCTTAAAATTAAAATATTAAAAAAAAAATTATCCAACTAAACAATCCCATCTTTTGTTAACTCTAAACGAGTTAAAAGAATCTAAAATCTAAAGTTTTGTAAAAAAAAAATTCTTAAACACCCATAGAAAGAAAGACAAAGATGAAGAAGATACTTAAAAGTGGGAATAGAGGAGTAGTACAAGTAGCCGCATACCGCATCTACGTTTTCTGTAACACTGCCCTTAGTTAAAAACAAACACTAAACCTCGTCACTTTTCCTTTGTCTTATAATCAATTATCAAACTCAACTTGTCAACTTGCTTGTTACTATTTTTTTTTTTTTTAATTCTCTCTCCTTCCTTTCACTGTTCTTTCATGGGTCCATGAACATCTCTCTTCATTTTTCTATTGTGTACTTTGATTGTTGAAGAGAAATTGTTCTCTCACTCTATTTAGACTATTGATTAAGGTACTTTACAAAGATGTTATATGGTTCAAGACATAACAAAAAGATTAAAAATAAATTTAAACATAAATCATAATAATTGTCTCCACACATGGTTTTCCTCTTACCTCCATTTCTATCTAGCCAGCTGAAATCCACAAGTGAACAAAACTCTAACAACTGAGAATCTGATTGATTGCAGGACATGTCACATGCGCAAGTGGAAAATAAAGTTTGGCCTTCACCTCAAGTGGCTTTCTCTACTCATCATTATGCCAATATTTTCTCATTTCTATTATATATTTCTTCTATCATTTTAGTTTTTACATTTTTATTTCATATTATCTTTTAGTCTAATAAAATTATTAAACTTTGATAATTCAAATTATTTCTTTATTTCTCTATTATTTAAGAAATATTAAATATGGTTTTCAAAAACTAATTACATCATCAACACCAAAAAAACATTACAAGAATTAAAACCCATAAATTGTTTTATAAAGACTGAAATGATAAAATATATATGGTTTAATTAGTTTTCTGCCCTATTATTCATTTATTTTATTTAATTTGGCTTTTATATTAATAAAACTTCTATCAAACAATTTAATAATAATACTATTTTATTTATTTACTTATTTATTTAATTTGACTTTATATAATAATAATCTCATTTAATCAATTAAAATTTACATAATTAGTTTATAAAGTTTCAACTTGCGTTGATTATAAATTATGTAATACAATATAAATGACAACGCTAAATTATATTGTGTATAAATTAAAATTATTAATATTTTTCTATTAATAACTTGACTGTTAAATAGATAAAAGAATACATTATTTTTCTATTTTGAATATTTTATGAATATTAAGATAACGTTAATTAAATATATAATAATGAGTTTAAAAATATTAATATATTTAAACTTATATTTTTATTCCATTTGTAATGATTTTTTTAGTTATCATATACATCATATTTAATATTATAGTATTTTCCCTTTTCTCTTTTCTTAATGACTACACATGCTATCCTGTCAGAAAGAAGAGGATACGAAGAATGAGCCAAGAAAATTCTGCAAAGATGAGTTGGTTTTTGTCTAGTGATGACGAAAAGTAACTACACGGTAACGGCAATGTTAATCCGCTTTACTCGTGACTTAACGGAAAAAACTCAAGGATATTCACAAATGGTTAATCGATTTTGTTTTTAGTTTTGATAAAAAAATTCTAAAATATTTTAAATATATTTAAAACAGAAATATTGTAAAATATATCTCAAATTTTTTTATAATAATATATGTAGATTTATTAATACGCTATGACGATGGATTAAAATAAAATATTGAATAACTATTTATAATTTCACTAATAAAAAAAGTAATTATTTTTTATAAGTTTTTTTAAAAGTTTATCTTTATAAAAAAATATTTCTTATATTTTTATAAATATTTATAAAAATATTTTCATAAAATATATTTTTTAATAGTATCTAATACGTCACTTTTACAATATAAGTTTTAATTAAAAATTAAAAAAATTAAATTTAGTTCAAAATTATATAAATATTTCATTTCAAAATAATTTTTTTAATACATGTTATCTTGTATTATATTTAATATATTATTTAAAATTTTGATTGTTCACGATTTTATATTTGATACACGTTTTAATATATATATATATATATATATATATATATATATATATATATATATATATATATATATATAAAGGTTTTAACATATAAAAAATTAAAGCATTTATAAATTAAACAAAATAAAAATTTCTAAAGGATCTAAAAAACTTGTAAATGTATATTAACATATTTTTTTAAAAGATGAATTAAAAAAAACTATATTAAGTAAATTAAAATTTAAAAAATTCTTCAATATTTTTTTCTTTTTAACAACCTAGCTTTAACCTTTTATCTTTGAAAAAAAAATCAAATTCAAATTATATAAAAATACTAACATTAAATATGAAATATTGATGTGATTTTATGAACAACAAAAATCGTATCTACCTATATCCATTATAAAATTTATCACGAATCTGAAGATGCATAATTTTGCAATGCCTAATCGACATGACATATGTGGGACTTGGTCGAATTTACGAAGCTGCTTACAATTTACATCACAGGTGGTGATCATTACGAAATTTGCAACTTACTTTAGTCAATGGTTTTTTTTTTTCCATTTATCTTATCCTATAACAACAACCGTCAATATATATATGATAATTTTATTTTTTATCAAGTAACATTATTATTAGCTTTTAAGTATTCAAAATTGACAATATAAAAACTTGTTAGGAATTTCTTCCACCCACCATTTTTTTCGTCCTTGTCTTCCTCCCCTCTTTCTATTATTCAAGCATCTAACTATATGCATAGTCAATAATTCTTTTAAATACTAAAATAATTTGATAGAACCATTTTAATCTTGAGAACATAGGTTACATAAGTTGGTCACTTTTCAGAGGAGGTTTCGTGTCCAAGAATATTTTCAAAAATATTTTTAATGCTTTTGAATATTTTTCTAATCTTCAAATACATTTTATTTTAGAATTTTAAACGAGACCTTTGTTTTTATTTTTTAAATGTTGTCAATTATTTTCAATATCTCTTATTTATTCTTGATTTTAAAAATAAATAATCACATGTTATATTCGTGCAAATAAAGTTATTAACTAGTAGAGTTTGACGAGGAACTATAATTAAGAAGAATAATAATTAAAATAACACTTACAATTAATATTTTTTTCATTTCTTGTAAATTGACTTTGTTTCTCAAGGATTCCTCCTTTTGTTATTCAAATTGGATTAACTAAACAACAACATAGTTTTCCCCTTCGTGTTGAGTGGTTGGGATGATACAACCCTACAACTACATTATGGGACATATGCTCTTGTTATCAAAATTTATTTTCATGAGTATTTACTTGAATATTAGTGACTTGTAGTTTCTAAATATACACCATCTCCTCACTATTATAGAAGAAGAAAAAACAATTAATTCAATTATATATCAATATAAGTAGCTTAGCACACCAAATATTTAGCCACTTGTGTTGACTCTAACCTTTATTAGTTACCTTGATATTTTAAGTCTTATATATTAATACTTGCATGACTTAGCATTGATTCTTTATTTTAATCTTAAGGTGAATATGGAACATTAATTTAAAAGTTAAACAATATTAGGAAATATAAAATAAGTGTAGGTTTTCTCTTGATTACTTGAAAATATTTTGGCTTACAAGGCATGTTAATCATTGCTTTAATTTAATCTTCAAATTCATGAACTTGAACTGATTAGGACAAGGGTACCTCTGACAAGAAAAAAACATATTAATGTATGATGACAGAGACATGCGAAAACCGGTTCTTCTGGTGCAGGTCTTTATATTATTATTATTATTATTATTATTATTATTATTATTATTATTATACATTTAATTTTAGAGTCACAAGAAAAAGACATACAATGTAGTAAAATACATAACTTAAGTAAAAACTCTAGACATAACTATTGTTTACTTTTTTTTTCTCCAGTAAAACAAAAACATACAAAAAATAGAAAATAAAAAAAGATAAAAAAATATAAAGCATGGAAAAACAATAAAAACACAATTAAAAATACACATTCCTTCATACTTAAAATTCACATTATACTCCATTGGAGTACTAAAATGTATATTAGACAAATGCGAATAAAAGAGTAGAAGAAAAGAATAAATTAGTTATGTTTCTTCAACCTAGTTAAGTTTTTTATAGTCAATATAAATAATCAAACTATTTTTATTCTTTTAGGGATAATTGTAATACTAAATTCAGTGAAAGATTTCTTAAACACATAAAAAAGTTATAGATTTGATGTGCCTCTATGGTGGAAACTCCAATAATTATAATGTATCAATCTGTTTGACACTGAAAAAACTTCAACAAAATCACATGTATTATGTACTTATTGTATAATCAAGCTTATTCTTTCTGATTTCATTAAAGGTATATTTGTATCTACATCACAATTGATTTTTCAAAATCTGCAAAGAATTAGCGTAATTAATATGCTTCAAGCTCAGCACAAAACGTCATTTATGAGAATCGGTGTAAACTAAGTTAGGAAAATCAATATTATTAATAAACTTAGTCAGATTAAAACCAGCATTATCAATGTCATTATCTAAAAAATTAATGTTAAAAACATAATGTTCTTAATGTTTAATATTATCTAGAATAGTAAACCTTACTACATCATCTCCAAACTCCTTGGAGAGTATTCCACCTACCAAGAGTGAGGGATGACTTGCTAGAGTGGACAAATGTCCGATATTAAGTACATAAAAATATATAGAAACACTACAACAGTAAAAGACATGTAATAACGGTTTCAGATGTTTTATAATAGCGATTAAAAACGCTATTAAATGAGACGCTAATAAAAGAATGATGTTTAGATAACGGTTAACTAACCGCTATTATAAATAAGATATAATAACTGGTTAACGTGGAATCGCTATGCAAAGTTGTATTTATAATAGCGGTTGGAATGATGAACCGCTCTTAAAAATACACATATAATAGCGATTAAAACAACAACCACTATCTAAAATATACTTTTAATAGCGGTTAGTTATATAACCGCTATCTAAAGTCCCAATTTAAAAAAAAATTATTTAAATTTTAAAATCCAAAATTTATTCCTAATAATTTGTACCTGATAGACTATAATTTCAGGGTATATATCAAATTAATCCAACAAAATCCATCCAGCATACAATATATATTCATAGAATCATAGAAAAACAATTCAAAATTTGACAAATTAAAACTAAAATTTGCATGAAACAAAATTAGAATATATACATCAAATAATTGAAATGATTAAAAAAATCCTTAAGAGTCTATGATATTGATTCTCGTCATTCAAAAATGTATGATAGAAATATGCACACCATTCCTTTTGTAGCTACTCAATTCTAAGGTCCGGAAAGATAAGAAAGCGAGACTCTAGAAAATACCGCAAACATAGATAGAAAAGAATCACAAAAGTTAAATTCAAAATTAGGTAAATAATAACAATACATTATTCTTTCATATAAAACATAGTCATAATGCAAAAATGGTTCTTACGTTAACCGGAATAGTAGTTTGTTCATGCCTGCAGATGTTTCATCTCTCGCAGTGTTTCTCCGATGAACAAAGCTATGTAATATCCACAGATCATCCGAGTTCATTACACTCGTATACTTAATAAAATTTTGGCAACATTTCGCATCGAGTCTCTTAGTCCACAACTTGAATTTGGTAAAATTAACCTCATTCAACCATGCACCAACTATAACAAATGACAGCTTTAATCAACTACCTAGATAATTATTGGCCAAGGAAATTTTTTTACAAATGGTCCAAATTGGGACAATTTGAGTTTCAAAATAATGATCCTAAATCATTATTTAGAGACTCAAATGAGAAACTAAAGATTCACTCAAGTTCATATATAATAATATCATTTAACAAGTATCTAAAATTACTAAAACTATCTGCAAAAACATCATACATAATCTCTAATACAAAATATTTCGTGGTCACACTAAACCATGTATATATCCTAACCAACCTATATTCTATTTCAAAACACAATTTCGGGATCACAATATGAACAAAAATAAACAATTCGAGACCAAACTAAGATATTAATCAATCCAAATACTAATTTTAAATTGTAATTTCAAATTCACACTCATCCTAAAATTTAACTAACCGTATCGTAATCAAAATAGGGGTGCAAATTGTATCCAATATCGCATTAATTCAAATAATTATACTATAATAAATCAAATAAAAGCCTAAAAAATATATAATGCACTAACATATTATAGACCTCCCAATAAGTACGTCCTACAACAATAATGACGAATGGAGACTGGAACGCGACATAAATATACTTAAATGGAGTTGTAATACCCAACCGAGTAAGTGAGAGCAAGAGAATGAGAGAGATTGAAGACACGGAGGGAAATGGAAAGAACCCAGAAGCAAGTGGGAGAGCACAAAGTGAGCGAGAAGAAGAGAATGTACCTATAGTTTAATAGAAGACGCAGAGAACGAGAAGCAGAGCGCGAGAGTGGCAAAAACGCAGAAATAGAAAACGCGAGATTGAAAAAAAAGAGGGATTAGGGTTTTTAAAAATTTGACTTTAGATAGCGGTTCACCAAATAACCAGTTATCTAAACTACACTTATTATAGCGATTTCACCAAGTAACCGCTATCTAAAGTTATGATAATCGGCTCCACGTGTCAACCGCTCTTCAAAGGTATGACATTAGATAGCGGCCATCACACAACCAGTTATTATAAATTATTTTAGAAAGCGGTTCTTTACGAATCACTATTAAAACATCACTATCGAAATTTCGATTTACTGAGGGATATTTACCGGGATCCAGAGTCAGTCGGAAATTGAGTAATTACCGATCGGACATTACCGACGGATTTAAGATAGTTGTGAAATTTGTTTTACCGACGGATATATCCGTCGTAGAATAAAATATTCATTATCGAGGGATATATCCGGTCGGTAAATTAGGAGGAAGTGGTTCCCTCCAAGCAACCTTGAAAATATAACTTATAATTATATATATATATATATATATATTATAGAAATTAAAATAAATTATATTTAGAATATATATATATTTTAAATATAAATTATTTTCAAATTCATAATTATTATTCTAATGTATGCAAAATATATATATATATATATATATATAAATAATTAATTTAAAGATTTTAATTTAAGTAATATAATATATATAATTTATTTAACATTAATTTGATAGTTATAATTTTTTTTAAAGTTATAATTATAAATATGATTTTTTTAAACATATATATAATATTTATAATATATAATTGATAAATGATTTTTTTATTTTAATTTAATATATATGTGTCACTTTTAAGAGCGGTTAATATTTGAACCGCTCTTAAAAGGAAACATGTAATAGCTGGTTAAAGATTAACCGCTCTTAAAAGTGACCTATAATAGCGGTTAGACTTAAACCGCTATTGTATATACCCCATTATGATCGATTAATTTTTAACATAATCGATTATATTTTCAGATTTGGTTTTACCGACGGATATCCGTTTGAAATTTGGAGGCAACTCCAAAATATAGCTTATTCTAATTTATTTTAATTTCTATAATATATATATATATATATATATAGAAATTAAAATAAATTAGAATTTAGAATATATATATATATATTTTATTAAATATAAATTATTTTCAAATTCATAATTATTCTTCTAATTTATGCAAAATATATATATATATATAATTAATTTAAAGATTTTAATTTAAGTAATATAATATATATAATTTATTTAACATTAATTTGATGGTTATAATTTTTTTTAAAGTTATAATTATAAATATGATTTTTTTAAATATATATATATATATATATAATAAATTTTATAATATATAATTGATAAATGATTTTTTTATTTTAATTTAATATATATGTGTCACTTTTAAGAGCGTTAACATTTGAACCGCTCTTAAAAGGAAACATGTAATAGCCGTTAAAAATTAACCGCTCTTAAAAGTGACCTATAATAGCTGGCTGCACTTAAACCGCTATCAGATATACCCTCGCTATGATCGATTAATTTTTAACATAATCGATTATATTTTCAGATTTGGTTTTACCGATCTGATATCCGTCTGGAAATTTGGAGGCAGACTCTCCAAAATATAGCTTATTCTAATTTATTTTAATTTCTATAATATATATATATATATATATATTATAGAAATTAAAATAAATTAGAATTTAGAATATATATATATTTTTAAATATAAATTATTTTCAAATTCATAATTATTCTTCTAATTTATGCAAATATATATATATATATATATATAATTAATTTAAAGATTTTAATTTAAGTAATATAATATATATAATTTATTTAACATTAATTTGATGGTTATAATTTTTTTTAAAGTTATAATTATAAATATGATTTTTTTTAAATATATATATATATATATATAATTTTTATAATATATAATTGATAAATGATTTTTTTTATTTTAATTTAATATATATGTGTCACTTTTAAGAGCGGTTAACATTTGAACCGCTCTTAAAAGGAAACATGTAATAGCGGTTAAAAATTAACCGCTCTTAAAAGTGACCTATAATAGCGGTCGCACTTAAACCGCTATTGTATATACCCGTTATGATCGATTAATTCTTAACATAATCAATTATATTTTCAGATTTGGTTTTACCGACGGATTCCGTCTGTAAATTTGGAGGCAGCCTCCAAAATATAAGCTTATTCTAATTTATTTTAATTTCTATAATATATATATATATATATTATAGAAATTAAAATAAATTAGAATTTAGAATAATATATATATATTTTAAATATAAATTATTTTCAAATTCATAATTATTCTTCTAATTTATGCAAAATATATATATATATATATATATAATTAATTTAAAGATTTTAATTTAAGTAATATAATATATATAATTTATTTAACATTAATTTGATGGTTATAATTTTTGTAAAGTTATAATTATAAATATGCTTTTTTTAAATATATATATATATATATATATATATTTTTATAATATATAATTGATAAATGATTTTTTTAATATTAATTGAATATATATGTGTCACTTTTAAGAGCCGTTATCATTTGAACCGCTCTTAAAAGGAAAGATGTAATAGCTGTTAAAGTTTAACCGCTCTTAAAATTTACATATAATAGCTGTTAAACTTTAACCGCTATTTTAAATACCCTGTTATGATCGATCATACTTTCAAATAATCGATTATATTTTCAAATTATCTAGTTTTTAGATAGCGTGGACCTGGAACCGCTATTATATGTTCATTTATAAGAGCCGGTTCAATTGGTAACCGCTCTTAAAAGTTACACTTACTACCCCGGCTCGCGGCATCACCTCCCACCTCTCATAATCTCCTTCAATTCTTCTCCTTCACCAACCTCACTTACCTCGCCCCACCTTCACTGAAAATCACTGTATTCTGGGTCGCCTCCCTAGCTTGGGTCGCCTCCACCACTAACCGTGAATCGCCTCCCTACCCATCCACTCACCACGGATTGAAGCAGCAGCCAGTCACTTGTCGAAGGTGAGTGCATGACCTAGCTCCCCTGTCGAGGTTAAAGTCGAGGTCAGGATCCGTATTCTGGGTTTATTTTTGCTTTATGTTTGTACCTTATTCTGATTT